TTATTTTCGAAGATGTGTTCCTAAGGATGTGGGTGGGAGACAGGATGCTACCACTCAACCATGCATGCCATTGATGTTAAATACACATCATGATTTCAGAGATGTTAAAATGCACATAGAATCTATGAAACTCAGTCATTTTGTATTCAAGAGTCAGACTGAGGAGCGGGACAGACACACAGACACACTGAGAGACTCCCTCTACTGGTTTACTTCTAAAATGCTTGCAAGTGGCAGAACTGGGCTAGGCTGAAGCCAGGAGCCAGGGACTGCATCCAGGTCTCCCAAGTGAGTGGCAGGACCCCAATGTTTTGATACATCGCCTGCTGCTTCCCGAGCCCTGAGGAGCCAGAAACAGGAGTCTAACCCAGATTCACGGAAATGGGACACAGGCATTTCAACTGCTATGCTAATCATTGGCCCCAGGAATTTAATTTTTAAAATAGATTGATGATGATGATGATGACTGATTGATTGATTAATTCAAAGTAATTACATGCCTTTCACAGCTAAACACAAAGCCAGCCTGGCCTCCCAGCCTTGGGGCTTGTCATCAGTGAAAGCAGTACATCAGCTGAAGCCTGCCTTGCAGTGGGCCTCATCGAAGCCTCCCCTGAAATTCTCGTGCTATCACAGACTATCATCCTCACAGGGAGCAAGATAGTGACTGACAGTCACAGCTAGCAGTGTTTTAGAAGGGCAGAGGTTTCTTGCCTGAACTGCATTCATTTGGTAACCAAGCACCAAAACCAAGCTCTCAAGGGACCTCCAGCCCAGCGGCGAGTCAGAGACCTACCGAGAAAGCCCAGAGCTCAGCTTGCTATACAGCATGGTCCTTGGGTTTGTATTCTGTAATACGCTGGCGGGAATTTCACTGCAGAGTGACTTCCAGCTTCTGCTCCCACATCTGAACTGCTTGGAAGTCTATCCTCACGACAAGAAAAAAAATCTGGACAATGAAAAATCAAAAACCCTTCTTGGATTCATAGAGCTGATCTCATAGGGGAAAACCATTGCCCTGAAAATGGGCATGCACACAGGAAGAAAGAGAGGATACACTGAAGCACAGTTTACCAGGGGCAGAAGCACCAGGGGTGCAGCCATCTCAGGCATGCAGAGCTTACCTGCAAGGGGCCAGCCGTAAGTAGGAAGTACTGGAGGATGAGTGTGGACCATCCTCAGAGTTTAAAAATTTCAGGGTCCATTCTTCGGGAAAGGGGAGAACCCCCAGGAATCCCACTTCGGTTCTCACAGTAAGAACCTAAAGAAAATCCTAGTGCACTTTTGGCAAGAGGAGGGGCACAGGAGCCCTTTGGGAATAAGCCCAGAGCACTCTGTTCTCTGCTCTCAAAGGCAGCTACACTACCAGAACCTTATCTGACCTAGGAGAGAGACAACTGGACAACTATAGCCACTGTGAACTTTCCTGTGTCAAATTGGGGAGGAAAAAATAGGCTAAATTTTTTTTTTTTTGAAGGTTAGAACGCAAGGACTCTGGCTTGCTTAGAAAACAAACAAAAATGCAGATTTAATATCAAGACCATGAAAGACTCCCACTCCACCACTTGGCCATGCCATTGACAGGACTCCAGTGTCAGAGCAGCGGCTTGGGGTGGGCCTTTGGTGCAGAAGTTAAATAGCTGCTAGGGGAAACTTCATTCCATATCTGTATGTCTGGTTCAAGTCCTGGCACATTTGATTCTGATCTACTTCCTGTGAATGTACACCAGGGGGGCAGTAAGTGATAGTTGGAGTATTTTGGGATCCCTGACACCCACATGGGAGTTCCAGATGGAGTTGTGGCCTCCTGGCTTTGGCTGGCCCAGCCTCACTGTCACAGCCATTTGGTAAGTGAACCAGCAGAGGGAAGATATCTTTCTTTCTATTCCTATCTCTCTGTAACTCTGCTTTTCAAATAAATAATTCCTAAGAAGAAATTGAATTAATAATTACCAAGCTTCCAAAACAGAAAATAAAATATCCAGATGACTTCACTGGTGAGTTCTACCAAACACTTCAGGAATCAGTGATGCCAACCACATACACTCTACCAGAAGGCAAATGCAGGACGAATACTTTCAGCAAGCCAGCAAGACTCTTACACCAGGCCCAGCAAAATGGCTCAGTGGCTAAATTGTCACCTTGTACACATTGGGGTCCCATATGGATGTCAGTTCATGTCCAGCTGCTCCATTTCCCATCTAGCTCCCTGCTTGTGGCCTGGGAAAGCAGCAGAGGATGGTCCAAAACCTTGGGACCCTGCACCTGCTTGAGAGACCTGCAAAAAGCTCCTGGCTCCTGGCTTCAGATTGGCTCAGCTCCAGCAATTACTGTCATTTGGGGAGTCAGTGATTGAGTTAGCAGATGGAAGATTTTCCTCTCTCTCTCTGCTCTCTGTAAATCTGACTTTCCAATAAAGATAATTCTTTTTTTTTTTAAAATAAGACTGTAATATCAAAGTCAGACTTCATCAGAAATGTAAACTACAGATCAGCTTCTCTCATGAACATAAATACAAAAACCCTCAACATATTCCAACCAAATCAAATCCACCAATGTATAAAATTCATTCTATGTCACAACCAGGGGAGATTCATTCCAGGCATACAATGCAGCTCAGCATTTGAAAATCAACTAATGTAGTCCACCATGAAGTTAAAAAAAAAAAAAAACTGGTCATGTTAATAAATGCTGGAAAAAAGTACCTGACAAAGCCCAAAACTGATTTATTTTAAAACCCTTAGGAATTGATAGAGAATTACCTAAGCTTGATAAAGAATATCCACAAAAGCCCTTCAACAAGCACGGTGCTTAACAGTGAGAAACCAGAACCAGGTAAGAATGCCCTCTCTCACCACTCTTCTTTGCCATCTTCTTTTTAAGTTCTAGCTAATGTAATAAGAAAAGAATGCAGATTGAAAAACAAGTAAAACTGTCCTTGTTCACAGAAGATAACAAAATGTATATAAAAAACCGATCAACTTCCAAAGCTCCTGGGACTAATCAGCAATTAGAGCAAGGCTGAAAGATGCCTGACTGACATGGCTCTCCTAAGGGCCAGCAAAGAACATACTGAATTAGAACTGTAACACACAATACCAATCAAACTAGCTTATAAACATGTAAGCTAGCATAAGCTAGTATATATAAACATATATGTAACATATAGTTAACATTTAAGTTAGTATATATGTAACACACAGTTACTACATAAAGTATAAGCTAGTATAAATCTAACAAAATATATATAGGATCTATGTGGAGGGGTCACTATAGTTGCACATCAGGCTAACCCTCTACCTGTGGTTCTGATATTTCATATAGGTGTCAATTCATGTCCTGGCTACTACACTTCTGATCCAGCTCCCTGCTAAAGGCCTGAGGAAGCAGTGGAGGATGGCTAAAGTCCTTGGGCTCCTGCACCTACCCACGTGGGAGACCCAGAAGAAGCTCCTGGCTCTTTGGTCATTGCAGCCAATTGGAGAGTGAGCAGCAGTTGGAAGATCTGTCTGTCTCTCCTTCTCGCTCTGTAACTCTGCCTTTCAAATAAAAATAAAATCAATCTAGGGCCCAGCACAGTAGCCTAGCGGTTGCGTACTATGCCGAACTCTGTCTTGGCATGCACACACAAGCATCAAGTCTGGGATCGTCTTAGCTGAAGTTACTTTGAGAATCCCCCCAATTGAACCACTGGATTCAAAACTCCAGCTGTGGAGGAAACTGCAGGTTCCATGGTCTGACCATGGAATGTATACATCAGAGCTGGGCCTCCTCAGTGGCTTAGACGGAGCAGTGGACAGCATATCCAGGTGCAAATGGAGGATTTGGCAGTACACTGCAACCTGCAGAGGACACTTGGTACCATAATAGAGGACGGAGAACAGAACAAATTGATCAACTACCCCAGCCAAGAGTTGGCAGTAAATACTGGACAAACGGAGACTCTAAGGTGGACTATATCAACTGGTGGATTCTGGGGACATTTCATCGTGATTGGAGTGGCAAGACTGGCAGCAATACAGAACTGTGGAACTATCAAAACCACTTGAGCAGGACCCTTGGAGCATGCCCCAAATTGGGGATCCTGGGATGGTTGGGAGGCTGGGTGTGGCTTCTCACCTTATCTCTCCCCTCTCCCCAGATACAGGAAGGGAAAAAAAGAGAATGTCAAAACAATTGTCACACCCACTTTCCTCTAGCCCTTGACCCTTAGCACCCTAATCAAATATGTAAAAAATATCAAAAATAAAATTTATACAATAATAATAAAATCATGGAGCTGACATTGTGGTGCAGTGGGGTGTGTAATAGCATTCTATACCGAAGTGCTGGTTTGAGTCTCACCTGCTCCATCTCCAATTTAGCTGGCTAATTTGTCTGGGAAAGCAACAGAAAATGGCCTATGTGCTTGGGGCCTTGCCACCCATGTTGGTAACCCAGATGAAATTCTGGCCTCCTGCCTTTAGCCTGGCCTTGTCTGGCTGTTACAGTCATCTGGGGGAGTCAAAGACAGTATGGAAGATCTCCTTCTCTTTCTGTGTCTCCCTCATTGTTATTTTGCCTTTTGCATAAATAAGACACATGGTAGAATAAAACAAAATACATACAATAAAGGCTTAAAAAAAACTATGAAGCCAGTGCTATGGTATAGTAGGTAAAACCTTCACCTATAGTACTGGCATCCCATATGGGCACTGGTTCAAGTCCCAGTTGCTGTACTTTTGTTCCAGTTTCCCTGCTTATGGCCTAGGAAAGCAGCAGAGGACAGTCCAGGTCCTTGGGCCCCTATACCCATGTGAGAGACCTGGAAGAGACTCCTGGCTCCTGACTGGCCCAGCTCCAGCCATTGTGACCCTTTGGGAAGTGAACCAGCAGATGGAAGATCTCTTTCTGTCTCTCTTTCAATCCTTCTCTCTCTCCTTTTTCTCCATAAATCAGCCTTTCAAATAAAGAAAAACAGATCTTTTACAAAATTATAAAACAACCCACAAGATGCTTACTCTGTCACTATTCTCGAGGTAGGTGCCTGGAGTCAGTGGGTCGACTGAGCCTGCGAGCCTGTTGCAAGTCCTTGCTTGCTGCTTCCTGGTGCTGGCAGTGACTGTGGAGCCTTGCTGGTCACTGCTTTACAATGACACCAATGATCTCCATGTATCTTCACATGGCATTTTCTTCTGTCAGGATATCTGTCACATTGGGTTAGGGCTCACTTCCAGAGGCCTGTAAAAAAGAAGGTCATGTTCACAGACACTGAAGGAACAGGATTTCAACAGGTCTTTTTGAGAGGCCCAAGTTGATTCTCAAGAATAAGTTAATAGACTGGTGTATTCATCCGATATGATACGAGCTTAGGGAAAGAATTCAGTTAGAATAGGCTATAAACTGTACAATACAAATTTATAATATTCTGGAAAAGGCAAAACTATAAAGAGGACAAAGGTCAGTGACTACTGAAGATTGGGGACTAGGCTAGGAATAACTGAAGCCCAGGGAATTTTCAGGATAGTGAACCCTACTATATGCTTTAATAATAGACACATCATGTTGTGCATTTGTCGATGCCCATAGAACTGTGCATAACATATAGCATGAACTCTAATGTAAAGAGTGGACTGTGCTCATAATAATCTACAAATACTGGCTTATCAATTCTAAAAATGCACTATACTAATACAACATTCCAATGATAAAGGAAACTGCGCGGGCGGTGGTGTAGGGATGGGGAAGTTGTGAGGGAACGAACAATATTAGAATTCTCCATCCAATTTTTCTGTAAACTTAAAACTATTCTAAAGACAGTCCATTAATTCTTTTAAAACGCACTTCAGAATCAAAAGCTGAAGGATCATCTCTTGCAAGAAATCATTTCTGTTCTACTACCACATTCCCCAGATGGTTTAGGAGCCCTTCTCCCAAGCTTATACAGGACCCTGAGCAGACATGGTTGCACATCCCACATCCACCTTCAATACTTCTTTGTGTTTTTGCCAGTTAAGACCTGTGGCTTGCTGACCCCTGTCCTAAAGTGCAGAGATGGCGAAAGGAGCTGATCTCTGTGACTTGTTAACAGGCACCAAGGGAGGCCTGACAAAGCGCACTTGTGTTCCCTCAGTGTGCTACCGATGATGTAATTTGTGGTGTAATCAGTATAAGCCCTCTGACTCAGTAGGCTATTTTATAGGTGGGAGCATAAGGCACAGTTACATCATCTTAAAGCTTTCTACACCCAAGCAGTCTCTGGATTATTGGGTTTTGGTCTGCAAAGATCCCACAGAGAGAAGTTTTTGCACCAGGAACCGCTCTGGAATTCAAACCCAGTGTTTTGACTCAAATCCATGCTGTTCACATCACACACCAAACTCTCAACTTGGCTCAAGTTCAAAACTGCTTGATGATTCTGGCCATGTGGTATAGTCCAGGGCTTACCGGCACAAACGCCTACCTGACAGATAACATAAGTGAGGAAAGCAGATTCTAGAGACAGATTTGGGTTTGGAGGGGACCTGCACACTTTGAGAAGTTCATGCCCAATCTAGAGTAGGCAGGAACCACTCCTGGCTCCAGCCAACTTTTGTCATCCAGATATGGATGGCATTGCCAGAGAAGATGAAGAGAAACCTCTGCTTCTACAAACACTGCCAACTAACTCAAACTCTTTGGAAATACTCATACTGGAGACAGCACATTGGGAGCATATGGAGTCATCCAACTGGAGTATTCATAATCGGTAACAGAATCTTCTGGAAAACCTTGATGGTTATATTCAAGGAACTCAACTATATATAATTTTCAAGATCTGAGTGATTAGTAAGGGATTTAACTAGGGACAGGACACAATTAGAATGGCATTAACTTATAAAAAATCTATTTGGGAGAGAAAAAAAACCACTCTCATGTTCCGATTTAAGTACCCCAATGGACAGGCTAGGCCAGGGGTAAGCTTCAGCAGCAGGAATTCAGCCTGTGTCTCCATGCGAATGGCAGGCACCCAACCACTTGAGCTACCACCTGCTGCCTCCCAGGGTGTGCATTAACTGAAAGCTCAACTCTGGAGCCAGGACCAGTACTGGAATGCAGGCCTCCTGGCCTGAGACGCAGACATCTGAGTTGCCTTGCCCGCATCTCTAGGTGAGTCAGCAGTTGACAAAGATAGGGCTAAGGATAGGGTGACAAATTACAAGGCCATCACTAACTGAACATGGGCAAGGATAAGAAGGCAAAGGCTAGGTATCCTATGCTTTCTCCCACCATACTCCCAAGGCCACAGGGCCCTCTCTACCGCCAGCAGTAAGCAGAAAACCTGCTCAATATTTGTTATCAGAATAAACAAAGGGGAAGGAGGGACGTTCAGAGGGCCTTGGAAGGGGTGCGTTTATGTCGGCTGCTTTGAGGGGAGTAGCCAAGACGGGAGCAGTCACGGGGTGAGGGGCAGTAAAAACAACCCATGTGCACGGATCATGTTTGAAAAAAGACCTGGCTCTTCATATGACCTCCAGAGGCTATCTTAGAGGTGAAGGGCAGATGAACTAAAAATGTGGGGTCCCTCCCTGGATCTAGTATTCCCCAAAGCACACAACTAAAGGGTAGGACTCATGGCTCAAAACACCCGTAACCGTAACTTCTGGGGTGAAGTGGGGGGCCTACACCCTAGAAATCTCAGTGACTTATTCGGTCCAGCCCCTGACCTGGGCCCAGAGGGGGACTCCGCACCCCACAAACATCTCTTCCTGATTCCCACACATCCCATTTCTTCGACCTTCTCTCCCACCTCTTCCCGCGGCCCCGCCCACTTCCTTCCCCTTCGCCCGCCGCCCTCCGGCTACCTCTGCCGGCCCCACGCCCTCCCCGGACCGCGACAACCCTGCCCCTGGGCTCTTCTTCTTCCTCCTCCCTTCCGTCAGCGCCCCTCTGGGGCGGCCGAGGCAACCCCGTGCCTCGCTGGCCCAATGAGAAGACGGCGAGGGGCGGGGCGGAGCTTGAGCCCGAGCGGAAGTGGTGGCCGGAGCGGAAGTGGAGCTGCCGCCACCGCCTCCGCCGCCGCCGCCGCCGCCGACTCCGGAGCCCGGGGAGCCGCCGCCTCTGCAGTGCCTGCAGCCGCCCTTGCTGCTGCTATTGCTGCTGCTGCCGCCGCCTGAGACGCAGGCCTGGGAAGGAAGCAGTCGCCGCTCGCGGAGCTCCGCTCGGAAGCATCTTAGCCCCCGGTGAGTGCGGCGTGGGGCCCCCACATCGAGGTCCCGCTGGACCCGCGAGGCGGCGGCGGCCCGGCGGGGTAGCGGCTGACCGCGTCCCGCGCGGTCGTCCGGGGCGCGGGCCCGGCCTCGCCGCGGCTCCTCCCTGTTTCCGGGGCCGGGCCCCGCGGCTGGCCGGTCGGGCGGGCGGGCGGAGTCAGGGGCCCCGCGCCCACTCTCCGAGCTCGGCTTGGATCCCCCGCGCCCCGGTCGCCGAGCACCACCATCTCTGTTCAGCCCCACCAGCCGGGCCCCGAGGCTTTCCGGGTTCCAGGCACGAAATATTGTAAGCTCCTGGCGAGTTCTGGAGCTCCTCTGTCCCCGCAATGAGTAAGGGGTTTAACCTTGGAAGGCGGCGTGGAGAACCCCCACCCTACCGTTTAGCAGGAAAGCCATCTCATCCTCTTCCTCTGGGAACGGAACGTGGTGGAGCCCCGGTTCCCTGCGAATCTGGGGTCGGAGCTTGGAATCAGGAAAATATATTTATTGAATCCGATTTCCCATTCAGGAGGGAGGCTAGCATTTCGGAATCTTTTCTAGCGGCATTGGCTGTCGTTGATCTGCCTGAATCTTTTGTGTCCTCAGCCCCGGGTTCCCCCTTACTGTGTGTGCGTGTGAGCACGTTTTGTTTGTTTGTTTCAGCTAGAATTTGTCCGGTGGCCTCCCTGGTGAGTGGTGGGGGCGCGGGTCGGAAAAGGAAGGTGTGAAGATGGTTTGGACCCCTTGTCAGAAGCTCAGTTCATTCGTGTCTGCTGCAAATGCAGAACTGGACGGGTAACGGAGTTTTCAAAGGAGACAGCCTCAGCAGAGGCAATTTGCCAACCTTTTGCGTGAAGATGCACTCCTGTTATCCTTGTCTCTCCTGCATTTCTCTTTGGCAAGGCTAGGCAGCCGCAGGCTCTGGTTTGCCTAGCCTTCTGTGGGAGATGGAATTTGGCAGGATGATATTAGGAGCATAGAATATGAAGTCAGCTGACCCCCAGGTGGGAGCCCCCCATCTCCCCAGAGCCCTAGTGGCCAAGGGAAGAAGCTCTTGGGGGAGCCTGAAGATTTCCTTCACTCCTTGGTCTAAATTGTTCCTATGAAGTCACCTACATGGTGCAGTTTATAGACATGGACACGTGGCTGCTGAATTTCTAGCATTTTCCTCTTGGAAATGTAGGTTAGAAATATCGCTTGATTGCTAGTGAGTTTCTTCTTGAAATTCACTCATTTCTTTCTTAAGGATATTTTGGTTATCTGGCAACTGCTTTTTTTTGGGGGGGAGAAGAATCCATGTCTTTAGCAGCGAATAGTATGGTGAGTATGAAAACCTGTCAATTTTAGTGGATCCAAGTTGGAATTTTAAGCCCAGTCTTCAAAATGGGTGACTGCAAATCCCAGTAGCAGCTGCCGAGTTATTTCCACAGAGAGAAGTCAGCCACACATCTTACAAATGAAGTCTGTGTGAGGAAAAGGTGATCTGGCCTAGACCACACACCTTGTTTCAGACTGAATATCCTTATTCACCATTAACAAATATTTATGGACTGTCGGCCCCTGGAGCATACCTCTCACCCTATAATCTTGTGTGTGTTTCCCGTCGTGCAGTGCATGTATGAAGTTGAAGCCATTTTAGAATTGGAGCTTATAGATTGGGGAGGCGGCCCTTAGGAAAGCAGGCTGAGCAAACTCCCCTGGTGCCAGGTCCCTAGAGGGAGTCTTCAGGGGGTGGATCTGCTGTGAAACGTGCATCTTGCTTGTTTGGCTGTGGGCACAAGTGGAAAGGGCAGTGAAGTTGGAATCAGGTAGATGTGCTCCAGGCCGGGCTGCAGCATTTTCATCCATCTCTGATTCTTGTTTTTCCTATTTTGGGGCTGGTCAGGAAGCCTTTTTGCAAACTGTACATTTTTAAATATGAGATTGTACTTTTTTTTTTTTTTGGTCACAATTTGTTTTTTCTGCAGTTACATTCTGGAGAGACCCAACCCTGCTTTATGCTATGTTGCTTTCAAAAAATGGTATGGTGTTACAGAACTATTTTGTGTATAGCAGATTCACTGTGTCATTTTCTCATTTACATAGTGCAAATGGTGATGTAGTTTTTGATATGTTATGACAACTCAGTAATTAAAATTAGCATCTGGGATACAGAAGGTGATAAGATTTTCTGGCCATGTGCACTTGTATGTGGTACTTACATGAATAAGTACACATATAGGTCAGGCACAGCATATATGCTATATAGTGCACGCAAGTCTATAGACTATACCTACTTTTGATTTATCTACCACTTGAGGAAGTGGCATCAAGCAATTAGTTAGTGTAATACAATAATAGCTGCCCCTTAAAACATTTACTTTGTGCCACGATTTGGTCTTTATAATCAGCCTTCATAGCAACTAGTGAGAGGTAAATACTGTTGGCCTCGTTTTACAGGATCAGGAAATTAGGCACAAGAGGAATAATTTTCTGAAGACCTCTTCCACATGTAGCACAGGGCAAGTGCTGAAGTCAGGAAGTAGGCCCGAGTGATGTGCTGGTGGATAGGGGATGTCTACTTAGCAGAGAACAAAACATGTGTGTCACTTACACAGACCCCGTTTGGTCCTGAGTTTTTCTTTAAGTATGTCCTGTGTCTTTAAAGTTAAGTTGTAGCTATCTCAGAAGGGGCATGATGTGATTTGTTGGGAGTGTCCCCCTTCGAGCTGTAGGGATGCTGCTGCGTCAGGCTGCGAGCTGGGGAAGAACCCAGTTTTTTTGGTTCATGGGGGGGCAGGAATAGTTCCTGGTTCGATTCTTCATCGAAATTAATTTGAGTGTGACTATCATTACTATTTACTTACATTTTTCTATAATTCTTAGATTATTTATACTTTGCCGGAAATGAGGGAATTTATTGGTGTAGAGAAATTGTTTTTGTTGATGTTTATTTTTCTTGGAAATGTAGATCAGATTTACAGAAAGATCTTCATCTGCTGGTTCACTCCACAGGTAGCTGCAATAGGCAGAACTGAGCTGACCTGAAGGAAGGAGCTTCTCCCAGGTCTCCTGTGCAGGTGCCGGATCCCAAGGCTTTGGGCCATCCTCTACTTCTTTCCCAGGCCACAAGCATGGAGCTGGATGGGAAGTGGAGCAACCAGGACAGAACTGGCACCTGTGTGGCATCCAAAGTGAGGTTTTAGCCACTGAGCCATCACGCAGGGCTCAGAACACACTTGTCTTGAAGCAGCCTAGGGGCTGGCATCCTGTGAGTACCACTTCACATCCAACTGCTCCCCTTCCAATGCAGCGCTCTGTTAATGGCCTGGGAAAGCAGCTGAAAATCGCTCCTGGCTTCAGCAGGAGTTTTTTTTTTTTTTTTTTTTTTTTTTTTTTTGAGTGAACCAGTGGATGAAAGATCTGCCTCTTTTTCTTTTTCAAATCCTTTTACAAAGAAAACAGCCTAGATTTAAAAGCAATGAGGTAAGTATAAGTAGGTGTACTTTGGGTTTTGGCCATGTGTTAGATAACTTGTGTGTAGAATATACTGTGGCTGCCCTTTGTTAGCACTTAGTGCAGGGATGGGGCTCTGTTTTGTGCCAACATACTTGCTTATTAAGCAGTGTGTGGTTCAAACTAAGGGGTCCCAAACATTTGAAACCAGTTCATGAGGTCCATCCATTGGGCTGTCTGTAGACATCGGGGTTTGGATACATTTTTTGTTTGATCATTTAAAGCCAAGAGATCAATTTACTGTTTCAGCTGCCATTGATTCACATTCTGTGACCTTCAGCAATGACATCGTTATTTTTAAGTTACTCAGTCTTAGTTAATTGAGTATGATTAGTAGTAATGTTCCACAACTGATGTAGAAAGGAAAGGCATTGTCTAGGACAGGTGGAGTTTTCCTCCACAGTTCAGTACCTACTGGACGTACTACTAGTGACCAGTTCAAATAGTCCAAAATAAAACCACATGTATTTCTGTATGTTGTGTGTAGAATAGCACAGACATTTTAGAGTGGGCGCCTCTCAGTGCGTAGTTTTCTTGTGAGAGGCGGGAGTACTTAATTTTTTCTGGTTGACACCCACTGGCCACCTGGTCCACAGACTTGCTCGGTTGCTCTGCAGGAGGTTGTTCTGTTTCTCCTTCAGCATTGACTCTGGAGCCAGGACTCATACCTAGGGAGCTGTGGGCGCTCAGTGTGGAGCGGTGCATCTGTGAATGCCTTCTTACTGAATCAGGCCTAGGATTTTCCTCTAGTGTTTTTGTTGTTTTTAGGTACCAGTTTCTCCTCTCTGGGTGGACTGTTCTTGTCTCTGTCTACTTTTACCTTGGATTCCTCTTGTTCCTTTCACCACCTGGAGTTCCCCTTCTGCACAGAGCCGTAGCATCCCATATCATGAGTCAGAACCTGCCTACTTTTACATTAAATCTAGCTGTAATTTTAGCTGGTTGCTTTCCCAAGGAGGAAGCATTGTAATCCACAAATGTATGCATATGAAGGATCCTCCAGAGGCTTATGGGAGATGTATACTAAATTGTACATGAATTATTTTTAAAAATTTCTGCACCAAAAGAAGCTTGCCTGTTTTTAAAATACTCACATTTTGTTTTATACTTTAGCAGTGAATAATCCAGGGCTTGGCACGGTAGCCTAATGACTAAAGTACTCACCTTGAACGCGCCGGGATTCCCATTTAGGAGCCTGTTCTAATCCCAGCAGCCCCACTTCCCATCCAGCTCCCTGCTTGTGGCCTGGGAGAAAAGTTGAGGACAGCCCAAAGCCTTGGGACCTTGCACCCACATGAGAGACCTGGAAGAATCTCCTGGCTCCTGACTTCAGATCGGCTCAGCTCCAGCTGTTGCTGGCCACTTGGGGAGTGAACCAGTGAATAGAAGATCTTTCTGTCTCCTCTTTGGAAATTTGACTTTCCAATAAGAATTTTTAAAATCTTTTAAGAAAAGTGAATAATTCAAAGAGTTCTTAAAAATAACTGACATTTTTATTT